GTTCCGCTCTTTGACTACCTCATTTCTTCCATTCACTTTAGCATCTCTATGCTGGAGAGCAAGTTTCAGACATCCATCTTCGTCTTTTCTTTCTTTTCTGTCTTTTAATGACCTTTTGCTTTCTTCTTATATGATGTTCTTGATGTCATCTCACAACTCTTCTGGTCTTCAGTCACTTGTGTCTAATGCATCAAATCAGTGTTTGAGTTGATCTCTAAATTCAGGTGTGCTATGACATATTTTAGGAGTTCCAGTAGTGTCATGGTTATGAATCAGGCTGTGAACCTTAAGGTCAGCAGTCCAAAATTACCAGCTGTTCTGCAGGAGAAAGATGAGGCTTTCTGCCTCTGTAAAGATTTACATCCTTGGAAACCTTATACAGGGTCACTATGAGTCAGAACTAACTCCACGGCACATAACAACAATAACATGCCATATTTTGACTCTTATGGACTTGTTTTAATTTTCTTCAAGTTCAACTTGAACTTGCACATTAGCAATTAATGGTCTGCTCCAGTCTGCCCCTGGCCTTGTTTTGTCTGATATTGAGCTTTCCCACCTTATCTTCCCACAGATGCAGTCAATTTGACATCTGTGTATTCTATATGGTAAGGTCCATGCGTATAGTCAGTCACCTATTAAGGTTTTTTGTTTTTTTAAAGTTTTTGCAATGCATAAGTCACTGATTTTGAAAAATTCTATCATGAACTCTCCAACATCAATTCTGTCACCAAGGTTGTATTTTCCAACTACCGATCCTTTCTCTCTTTTTTTCCCAACCTTGACATTCAAATCACAAGTAGTTATCAATCATCTTGATTGCACGTCTGATCAATTTCAGACTGAAGAAGTTGGTAAAATTCTTTAATTTCATTATCACTGGCTTTAGTGGTTGGTGTTTAAATTTAAATAATAGCTGTATTAACTGGTTTTCTGTAGGCACATGTACACTATACTATTGCAGATCTTGAAATATTCTTTTTAATGATGAATGCAATGCGACACCATTCCCCTTGAATCTGTTGTTTACGGTACAGTAAACCATGTGATTGTCAGATTCAAAATGGCCAATACCAGTCCATTTTAGCTCACTAATGCTTAGGATATGGATCTTTATGTGTTTCATTTTATTTCTAACAACTTCCAATTTTCCTAGATTCATATTTCACACATTCCATGTCCCAATTATTAATGGATGTTTGCAGCTATTTCTCCTCATTTTGAGTTGTGCCCCATCAGCAAATCAAGGTCCCAAAAGCTTTACTCCATTCATGTCATCACAGGTCAACTATTTTAAGGAGGCAGCTCTTCCCCAGCTATATTCTGAGTGCCTTCCTACCTAAGGGGTTCATTTTATGGCACTGTATCTGGTAATGTTCTACTGTTATTCATGAGGTTTTCGGTGGCTAAACATTCAGTAGTTCACAACTCCTTTCTCTTCTGTCTTAGTCAGTCTAGAAACACAGCTGAAACCTGTTCACCATAGGTCCCCTACTAGTATTTAAAATACCAGTGGCATAGCTTCCAGCATCATAGCAACATGCAAGTCACCAAAGTAGGAAAACTGACTTATCCCATTTTGTATAATCAGTATGAACTTTAACCTCCAATAACTGCTGTCAAAATCCAAAATTAAATTTCTGCTTTTATCGAAACCAAAGCATGACAGTTTAGCAATCTGTTACCATGGGAGAAAGAAAACCACACTACGGTACTGTTGCTTTTTTACTTTATTAAACAAATCTTAGTTTGGACATGAACTGAACATTCAAAATATCCTATTCTTAACCTAATACCACTAAATTTTCAAACCATGCAACTAATGATTTTTTAACATTTATACTCACTCAAAGCAACCTTTTGATTATAATGGTGCTTTAAAAGCAGTTAAGTCTACTGGAATATTGCAAAGATCAGAAAGGAAAAAAAGAAGCACAGCCATACACAAATAAATTCAGCGTTCAGTTTACCATTTTTCAGTTTGCTAGTTAAAGGCATACACTTTTCACATGAAAATATTGGGAAAACTGATTTCTACACCATATGAAAACTAACTCAAAACTGATCAAAAGCTAATTATAAGAGCTACAGTCATAAAACTCTTAGAATAGTGCACAGGGATAAATCTTCGGACTCTGTACACATATTAGACAATGGAGTCTCAGAAATGACACCAAAAGCACTACCAATAAAAGAGAAAACCAATAAATTAGACTTCATCAAACCTTAAATTTTACACATCAATGACACTATCAAGACAGTGAAAACACCGCCCATAGGATCAGAGAAAATATGCAAATTAGGTATCTGATAAAGATTAATAATTAAAATACACAAAGAATTCCTACAACTCCAGAATAAAAAGACAAATCACCCAATTTAAAAATGGGCAAAGAATATGAATAGACACCTCCCCAAAAAGTATATGTAAACAGCCAAAGCACACGACAGATGAGGCACCCTGATTCTCTACAGATTTATCATCTCAGAAACACTACAGAGTAGTTCTGCTGTGTTTTACAGGGTTCTATGCTTCAGAATTGACTCAGAAGGCAGTGGATTTAATTTTGGTATTGCCCTCATTGCGGCAACAGCTAAGCGCTTGGCTACAAATCAAAAGGTTGGCTATTCAAATCCATCCAGAGGCTCAGCTCCATAGGAGAAAAAACAGGCAGTCCACTGTTGTCAAAATTGTTATTGTCGTTGTCAAGTTGGTTCTGACTCATAGCAATCTTTCCAAGGAGCGGCTGGGAGGTTTGAACTGCTGACCTTGTTGGTAGCAGTCCAGTGCTGATCCTACATAGCACCACACCAGGACTTGTAATGATTACAGTGTAGGAAAACTCTACAGGGTAGTTGTACTTGGTCACAAGTGGCCATTATGAGTAGGAATTCACACAACAGCACCTCCCAGCTCCCTCCATTTAGCCCCAGCCCCATCATTTTATCTCCTTCATCTTTTTCTTTGCCTTCTCACTATTTTTTTTTTTTCATAGCCCTTTTCAAAACTGGTAACCATATCATTTCTTTCTCTTACATTAAGTACTAAGCTACATGAGGGCAAACTAAGCCTATTTTGTTTGTCTCTGCACACCCAACAGTTAGCACAATATCTATACCTAGTAAGAGTTCAATCAGGAAGGCAATAAGAGAGCTCCTTATGGGAAAAGAAGTGTGTGTGTGTGTGTATGTGTATCAATACCTAAAAATACAGTGGAGTGAATACGGTTGTATACTAATAAATTAAGGCAGAAAATGAATGATCAGGTCAAGCTATTTTCTCATCCCCCACCCCTACCCTATACACACACACAGCTTAGGGACATACATAGTATACTCTGGTACCAAAACCAAATAAACAGAAAGATAAACGAGACACCTTTTCTTTGGACACTGTGATTTTAGTTTCCTTCTAAATATTTCTCTTATCCTAAGGAACACTAGTTAGCTGTAGTTGTTTTGATGTTTTGCTTTTTAATCTATCTTCAAATTCCTCTAGCCAACAAATCAACTTAATGAGTGTCAGAATTCTGAATGACTGTAATAGCTGCTTTCTTGAGATCTGGACTTAATAAAAACTAAATTCTTTCTAAGGGTATGAAAGTCCCACTGATGACCTAAATACAGACCTGAAAGCTCCCTATGACTTTCTTAAAAGAACATATCCGAGTCTGAGTTTTAATACTAGTGCTAAATGAAGGCCATCACTACATTAAAGTTTCATCGGTATCAAAAAGATTCACTGTATTAAGAGAAAAAATTTATCACTGTTACACAATGCCAAACTCCTTCATGTTACAAAATTTCATTTACTTTAAGTTTGTTCCTGCTATCACTGATTTACTGTCTGAAATTACAATCCTGCTTACATTGGAAATGTTGTGGTTCTCTTACTTCTCATCTCTCAGCCTAACTTCCTTCACCTGGCTATAGCCCAATCACTTGTCACGGAACAGCTATAGCTCTGTAAGTTTCACACAGCTTCAGTGATCCACAAACAATTCAGAAGAGAAAGGAAAAGCATCATAGGAAAAATGGTGAGCAGGCTGTGGGCAGTGATTGTGAATGGGTACCACATGGGAAGGCAAATCAGAGCCACACAAATGACTGTTTCAGAGTCTACAGGCCGCTCTCCCCATGCTCATCACTATTGAAGAATCACTGCCTAATGATCCACTAATTTGTTTCTGATCCACAAATTGTATTTGTGATAGGATTATTTAGGTTAATCTAAACAATATGACCTGGTCTTAGAAACTATTCTTCATAACAGACATTAATCCATTTCTCATTAGTCAAAACTGCCACATTATTAGTTACCAATGATAAGTTTTCTCCCCTTCTATCTCTGGTAGTGTGGCACTTACAAATCAGAGTCAGCAGTTCGAAACTACCAGCCGTTCCGCAGGAGAAAGATGAGGCTTTCTGCTCCTGCAAAGATTTACAGCCTCGGAAACCCTATACAGGGTGGCTATGAGTCGGAACCGACATTACCGCACGTGACAACAACAATCTCTACACTATACCCAAGGTTTTTATTTTATTTCAAGTTTTAGTACACATAAATTTTGTAAAATGTCACAAATTTTAAACAACTGTATTCAGTCAGCTTGAACAAAAAAACTTTTAAACATTGTCTAAATTTATACATTAAATGCTTAAGTTTTAAGCATTAAGTGTTTCAACAGTTCTACCAAGAGTTAGCAGTTTGAAACTACCAGCAGTTCTATGGGAGAAGGATGAGGCATTCTGTAAAGATTTACAGCCTCAGAAACCCTGTGCAGGGTCACTATGAGTCGGAACCAACTCCATAGTACTTAACAACAACAACCAAGAGTTAGAAGAAATTGAAAAGTAGCTTACAGATAAACACTACGGGTAGCTTAGCAACTAAGAGTCATGGAAATAAATAACCTCTGTTTCTTCTTCAGAATCCTACTCTAAATCTACTTATTAATTATCACAAGTGGGACAGATGGGAAATTCTATTTAAACTATACCTTAAAATGTACTGTGATGTTCCAAGGAAGAGCTGAACTTGATGCAAGAAGATCAAATAGCAAACCAATTGGATAATGCCTAAAAATGAAAGAGTATATTTTAAGAAAGAATAAATAAAGTTATAACTACAACTCCAACATAAATTTCCATCCATGTTTTAATATCAAATGTAAGGGGTTACAGTTGCAAATATCAAGGTAACATTTTGTGCCAGGTCTAAAAAGGGATACTTTCCAGGCATAAGGTGAGTTTTCTCCTAACCATTTCATCCCCCTCTGGAATTTCAATATATATAACGGGATGTGCTAACTGAGGCTTCATGCGTGAATTATTAAGGAACTGGAGTTATGTAATTATCATCTCCACATTCATATTGGGCAACAAGTTTAAGTTTATTTAAATGTATTAAGGTAACGATATTCTAGAAAAATTCTGGAAACAAGAAGGGCACCTAAAACGCATGCAAATCACCTATTCTGTTGTCATCCCTACAACATAAATTCCCAGCCTTTTATCTTTAATGCTTATCTTAATATATAGTAAGATTATCTTTCACAAATTGTTCTACAATTTTCTCTTTTCAACAATACATCATTTTCCCAAATCCCAATATTCTTCTGTAGCCTAACTGTAAAGGTTTTAACAAATAAGCTTCATATATCCCAAAAAGAGAATATTTCTTAATATAACCATTACTCACAGCGAAGCAAATTATTTAGCAATAAACAAAGACTAGTAATACAAACCTTGCAGATTTCAATGGACAGACTGTTTAAGTTATCCTTTTAAAGAATCTAAATTTTTAGTGAGATAGTGAATCAGAATTTAACAACACCCAACAAAAAGAAGACTGTTGATCGACAGTCCTGTTCTTATCTGTAAAAGATTTTAGTAAAGCTACTCATAGATTTATGGGCTTCAAATTAGAAAATATCTGTAATTTCCCTCAAAATGAGTGACACAATATATCACCTGACAAAGATTAACTATACTGAAAAGTCCTATTTGTGTTTGCATTTTTTTACATTGTGTAATTGTGGAAAAGTCAGTTACTTAGAAATCAAGTTCTTATTTATGATAAATCTAGAATAAATGCCCTGTTAATAAAATAAAACGGTGGGTAACTTTACTCTATCTATTGTTGTTGTTGGTGGTGGTGGTGTGCCAAGAGTCAATCCCAACTCCTACTGAACCAGTATTGGGGTTCCGAGGCTGTACATCTTTACAGGAGCAGAAAACCTCATCATTCTTCCATGGAATCACAGGTAGTTTCAAACTGCTGACTTTGTGGTAGCAGCCTGACTTGTAACCCAGAATGTTACGAAAGCTCCATGTTGTTAAGTGCCGTGAAGTCAGGTCTGACTCACAGCCATTCCGTACTGGCTTTCTGAAGCTGTAAATCTTTGCGGGAGCAGAAAAGCCTGGTAGGCTCAAACCACTAAACTTGTGTTCACAGTCCAATGCTTATCTTACAGTCTTATGAGGGGGCTTCACTTTCCCACAAACTTTATATAGTCTTTTGTAAACTATGTAGTTTACCAGTTGGATACATTCAGCAGCAATCTCAATCCTGATGATTGAGTAATTACTAATTCAATGTTGTTACAAGTTTCCTAATACTCAAAAATGGAACTGTATATAAATTATAAACTTAAATCAAATATCATATCTTACGGCACTCAATGAAACATAAAATCATATACAGGAATTATCTTGATGACATTGATGGTTCCAGACCGCTGCAGTAATGTGACTATCATGAATCACACAATGCATATAAAAGTTAAGCGAATGTTATGAAAAAGTGAGAAACACTGAGAATTATCAAAATATGACATACAGACACCAAGTGAGTACATGCTCCTGAAAAAAAAAAAAAGGTGTCTATAAACTTGTTAGTTTTAGGGTTGCCACAAGCATTCAATTTGTTTTCTTTTTTTAAAAAGGATGTATCTGCAAAGTACTATTTTAGGAATTGAAACTCCGTGGCTTTTATTCTTTTTTAAAGGGATTTCCCAAGAACAAAGAGAAAATTAATTTTAAATAAATTAAATTTATTCTAACTCGCAATTCTGGATCCACAGTGCACTGAATGATTTAATGAGATATTTCAGCGATCTTATTTTTTCCTATATCTTGAAATTTTTTGCTACGTCATCACCATGAGAATTATTTTATAGCTACTAGTTTCAGCTAAGCTAAAAAGGCTATAAAAGAGAGAGAATGAATAATGAAATGCCTAGAACATCGATAGAGAATAATAAAATCATGACAGGTACATCTTTCTTCCATCTTCTTATTATATGGCCTAATGTACTACATCATCTTTTATGAATTAGAATGGAAATTCCAGCTTAGGAGTCAGGTTTTAGCTATGATTAACCCAATTGTGAAATCAAAATTTTTCATTTTCCAACCAAAAGAGCAAAGAGAAGAAAATTGAAAGAGAAAGATGTTTCACAATCACTAGAGAAATCAGAAGACATATGCAAAGAGACAGAGCAGTATTCTAGAGTTGATGATGGTGAAGTTAAGGTGAAATCCCAAGGCTATGAGACTTCAGATACTGATATACTAGTTGAATTTTATAGAACTCAAGGACTGATGAGTGAATAAAAAAGGACAAAAAAAAAAAGACGTACTTTCCTCACCAATTAATCATTCAACAAAAAAGACTCCATTACACAATAATACAAGGGGGCTCCAAAAAGTTTGTGGAAGAATTTCATTACCTTTCAACTCCATTTTCCCTACAAAGTTTCTGAAGTCCCTTTATACATTATGACAAGAACCTAGGAAATTTCATTTTGCTAAATGTCTATATGACAACTTTATATCATTTTATTCCATCTGTGCACTACAATTTACTTGATAGTAAGTGGACATATATTGAAGGATAATTTGTACACAACAATGCTAGAAAGGGATTAGACGGTATAGATACGAAAAAAAACAAACATTGGATTAATCATTTTAATTGGTGTTTACTAATGTAAAAATGAAAATATTTTATAATAAAAGCATAGGCTGTCAAAGGTTTTAAAAATTCAAGTACTACTATTAAATTATAAGGAGAGCCAGAAATAAAGATAAACTAGAATCTCTTACAAATCTATTGGAAATCTAGAATTCGAATTTACAAGATGTATTGTGACCTATATTCTAGGTTTATATATAACAACTGATGATCAGTTTCTTTTATTCAGAAGACAATAAATTCAGAGGTATATGTTTCCACAGAACCAGGAATACATGGAATAAATATGAATTTGATGCATTTAAATTCTCATAACAATTTCTAATAAATTGCTATACACTACTCCTTTATAATTACTTCACTAAATTACTTATAAAATAATTTGTAAATATTTATGAAATATTTATGTTTTTAAGTGATTGGACTCAGATGATAAATCCTGAGCTATTTTTCTTCATATTCTAAAGATAAATATGGCAATTTAAGTATTAAAAGTTCTATGTAAATTAAATACATAGAAAGTATTAACATAAAAGGAGTCTAAAGAGAATCTGGAGAAGTTAGCTCCTCTGAGCCAGCCAGCTTAATAAACCTGAAACTGCTTCCAAAAAAAAAAAAAAAAAAAGCAGTCTAAAGAATAATTACTCTATAACAATCTTTAAGAAATAAAACTGAAATTTAAATAAAATAACAATATACTTTTTTTCTACAGCCAAATTCTACAGCTCACACGTGATTCAGAGCAGATGTTTATGCTAGTATGGTTTTGATGTAAGAATACTAACTCCTAACAAATGTGTATCTGAATTAATTTGGTGGCCAGATTGCTTATTTCTGACAATTTTATTAATATTTAAGAAAATCTACAAAAGAGAATAGACATTGTAAAAATTAAAGGTAGTAAATTTCTCATTCACTAAAACCTGATGTGTATCAAGGACTTAAAAACTATAAACTTGTACAATTTCTCCAGATCCTCTATACTCTACGCTGCCTTTTATCTAGAAGCTACTAAACTCAGCACAAGGAAACCACATTAGCCTAACTGCAAGTCAATCATAATGTAGGCACCTGGCTGTTAAATTGTTACTCTGAACATCTAACCTAAATTTAAGAGAAAACAAGTTAAGAATTTAAACCTGGATATCCCAGAAAAGGACCCAACTAAATGTTCAACCTTCACTTCTTATTCTCAAACCATCAGTCCTGAAAAGATGACAATTTACACAGAATAATAATCTCCCATTAGAGATGCTTGATTTATAGTTAATAATAAAAAAGCAGCTTTTTCCTAAATTATTTACCAGAAGGCCTAGAACCTAAAGCAATACTAGTGATTACTAACAAAACATTCTTTAAAAACACCAACTGTTCAATTGTCCTAACAAGAAACTTTTTCCCTCTCAAATGAAATGTTAGAGCACCCTCTACTGACTATCTGAGTCAAATCTTAAAAAAGTCAGATTTTTAAGTGAGATCAGCACTATGTATTTCCCATATACATGTTTTAAAAATCAAAACTAAAGGAACAATGTACTGCACAGGATAATGTGCTAATCAGATAGGACTTCCTTGGAAGTTCTCTACCAATCAAAAGGATACATGTATTAAGTAAACAAGTTATCAGGAGGGACCAATCACCAGAGACTAACATTACATTTGGTAAAGTATAGAGCCAGCAGAAAAATAGGAAGAGGCTGAAAGAGAAGAACGGACACAGTAGCAGCAAACAATAGGCTCAAACCTAATAACTGTGCAGACGGTGCAGGAATGGGCAGTGTTCTGTTCTGCTGGTAGCGTGGCAGTTCCGAATTGGGCTGCTAATCTCAAGGTCAGTAGTTAGAAACTACCAGTGGTTCCGCTGGGGGAAAGATGAGGCTTTCTGCTCCCATAAAGATGTACAGCCTTGGAAACCCTGTACAGGGTCGCTATGAGTCGGAACAGACTCCACAGCACACCACCATTACCTGGGGTTGCTATGAGTCAGAACCAACTCAAGGGCACCAAACAACACCAGGAGCAATGTGTTTACCACTGTTATTAAATGCTTTTTCTAAGACTGATGGAACCCGAGACCATGGCCCTTAGTCACCCCTCAGGT